AATCGCAAATCAACCTCCACCTATCACACACAGAACTTGATGTGTATGTGTGTGCATAATCATGCAAAGCATACCAAACTGATGATGGGTGTAAACCCCGACCTTCAGTAGTTAAATTTTCTTTCTTTCCTTGCTTGAGAGATTCACACCCCCCAAACTTATTCTTTTCACTCAACGACCCATGGGTGTGTTCTAGAGTACAGTTTCAGTTTACTTAGTCCTTATCCTCTCTGTTTGGATAGATCTCGCGGTTACATCCAGAATTCTTGGTAGCACATTTGTCCATTTTCTTCCATTGATTCCTTCATAAACATATGGCTGTTTCTTGCGAAGGAAATCTTCGGATACGATGTTGTTTCTTGCGATAGTATTTTCTCGCGTCGTGTGATGCAATTCGACAATAGGTTACCCATTTCATGACATCAACGACTAGTTGCCTAACGAACTCTTCTTCATCGATGTCTTCTTCATCTTCAAAAATTCGATAAAAGCGTTCATTGGAAGTCAAACTCGTCCATTGCGTAATAGTAAATTCGAAATGAATTTTTTAGTTGTCTCGGGTAAGAAGAGAATAGGAAAAACCAATTCCGAAATGTTGAGTCTTGTGTTACTTTTGATAGCATCCTAATGGGAATGTAACATGTATATATACAAAAGTGAATATGGTCTTAGCACGTTTAAGACAAGTGCAAACCCATTATACTATACTGCATGTGAAATTTGAAAATGTAAAGCATCATAATACTATAATTCAAGTGAACTTGGAAATTTAAGTGATCATTCTACTATACTACATGTGAGTAATTTTCATTGTTTTCTGGTGTGGTTCCCAACACATACAAAGTATGGACAAAACACAATCTACTCCATGCGATATTCAAACATGTTGCATTACATATCACAAAACCTTTCAAAGTTGAACGGCACATGTAAATCACATAATATATGGTACAGCAACAAATAAAATAACTAAAGTCTATAAGAACGACAATAAAAAAAAGGAGAGTCTGCAAGAACAACAATGCATATATTACTATGTGGGCTTGTTATGCTTATTGTACTGCTACGCAATCCACTCAAATTTTTCATCTGCATCTTAAAATTCGACGAACATGTCTCAATAACGCTTATGGGCAAGAAACGTACAAGCGAAGAAGTGCAATGGCGTCTGTCGTTTGAGACCTCTTGCCTCAAGCAACTCATCCACGCAGGCCACTCCAGCGTTCTTCTCTGGGTACAACATCTTGTTTATCTTGGCCGCCACTTCCTTGGCGGCACTGTTCGCCCGATCAACGGATTAGGACAAGTCCTTTGCTGAAACTTTCTTCTTCCTTCCCGAACGAGTGCATGTCCCCGACTTCCTCCTCTCACCACTGCATGGTCCAGAAGCTTTGGTGCTAGAGGTAGAGTTTTCCTCGTGGCCCTTTTCACTCGAACCAGTGCTCTCCGCATCAATAGGGATTGTATCCCTGTGGTCTTCGACTGTACTATCCTCTAACAATCCAAATCCCGTATGACATAACTTCATGGGAGTCACTGCATACTTATCCCGGTCATAGCTGTCCCCAAAAATTTGATGATATGGGGTGTATATCTCACTAATGTCTTTGTCCTTGAAGTCCTTATATTCCTTGTTTTCCTGCAATACCAATACACACGGTGCAAGATAATTCCAAACGGGGTACACGACAAGGAAAATATGCTACACATGAGAAATAGTATACTAATTTGGGGAACTGGCAAGTACATCAAAAAAATCCATTCTCTGTATTCCCATTTCCACGTAGCACAGTAAGTTAGCAAAATTACCTTAATTTTTCTATTCCACCATTCCTCTGATGGTACAATCCGGCCATCCAATAGGTTGTACTTGACCCCCGTACATGAGAGCAGTTCGGTGAGCCGTTTGTGCTCTCGACGCATTGAGTCCCAGTGGTTGCGAAGTTGAATTTTGCTCCAATTGTGGCCGGATATGGAGTTGAATAATGTGACGACACGATCCCAGCCAACTTTCGTGAAACACTTACCATGACAGTGGCCTTCGGCAATTGCGGTTTCATAGGCTGCAATGAAGGTTCATCTCTTTGCTGTTCTCCGTCAAGCATGTTTTCTAGAGGATTCTGCCATGGATAGATTATCAATAGCTCCAGAGGAACTAGCCTGGCGAACGCTTCCAAGATGCAAGATAATCACAATGGTTGTTATTAGCTGCTGAATCAGGATAAGCAAAAAAAAAAAACCATGAACGAAAAAAAAACAACGGAAACAAAGTGACAAAAAAGAAATGACATATTTTGTATTTCACTCAACTATGGAGAATGTTCTTATTACAGAATTCAGCCAGGTAAAATCCGCATCAACATGGTTTCATTTATTGTTTCAACGTGTTTGCGCTTTATGAATTGCATTTGTTAACACACTAAGGCATAAGGTCTAATTCTTGTGCACAAGGTTAATTGTTTGAAATCAATTTTTAACAAAAATGAAAAAAAAAAAA